GAAGTTTAGATAACATCTCTATTTTGGAAGACTACCACTAAGGGGAAGAAGGAGGAAGAGCCTAAACAAGAAGCTGACATACAGGGGGAGTGAGGAATAGGAGGTTACAGGAGTTACGGAAGACGCTCCAGGAAGGAGGTAGTGGCCAAAGGCATTGAATACCTCAGGAAGAGCAAGTAAGAGAACAAGGACAATCTACAGAGCTCTGTGACTTCAGTTAGCTCATCATTCCAGGTCGGGAGATGTATTTGATTCTTCTCCACAGGCCTGATATGATCTAGCTTTTAGGACAATAACTCTGGATTTAGTAAAGATATTTTGGAATCTGAAATATGGAGTTTGGTGATCATTGATGGAGAGATACCAGGAAGGAGAATATACTGGCTGTGGGAGAACATGATGGGTGTGGTTTTGGAACACGGTGCTTAGGTATCTCTGAGATTTTCAGGTACAGACTTTTAGGAAGGGAGGAAAGCTCCATAAGCACACTGAGTCTGTTAGTTTTTATCATCCCACCTGTGGGGGATGTGCTACAGGAATGAATGAGATTGTCCAGAGGGAATGTGTTTGAAGAAAAAAAAAAAGAGGGAACTGTCTGTGTGAGTCAAACAAGGCATGGTTTTCATATAGTCGGAATGAAGGGCTAGGCTGGTGCATCGATGACATGCCACAGAATTGGACAATTATGGAAGTGGACTGAATACTTTGAATCTTCATTTTGCATGTCGTGGGTATTGCACAACTCCTGTTGCTTTTTTTGCCCTCTTTATGCCAGGAATCCTCCAGTGGGGTTATGGGCAAATTTGGCCTGAGCATTCATCTCCTCCCACTAATGGGTCATTCTTTCCCTCTTGATTTCCTCTCTTATAAAAACTTTAGTTACACTGCAGGTGGTCCCCCAGGGTGCTGCTGTCACTTCTTGGGCTCTCTTATTTCCAGATGAGACACTGTAGACAACAGGCCCACTTCTGTCCCCTGCAGACGCCTTCCTTTGCACCATCCCTGAGACGAGCACTCACGAAGGAGGAGGAGTCTTGCACAATCGAGATCAAATGTTTGACTTGTTTTTAAACTAACTCTCTTTCTGCCTCCTTGAGGATATGGATTTTAATATTTCTAAAGAAAGTAGAGGCATGAGTTGGCTCCCTGGGTTGTACTATAAATAGCCTCCAAATCAGGAGTAAAAAAGGCAGCTCTGTTGGAGGGCAAGAAGACCAGGCCCAGGGAAATGACCTCCTGGGCTTGCTGCTTTTCTGAACATGTCCGTGTTGGCACCGCTTGGCCTCATGTCGGCAGGACACACTCACGGCCATGCAAAGCCAGACTCTGTCATGTGGAATCAGTTGACATCTGGGGGCTATTTGTGCTCCTCTCCTTCATCTGCCCTCACTCAAGCACTTGGAGACCTCACTTAGTAAACCAAGCCTGGAGAAAGAAAGCCAAGCTAATCAGGTCATCTTCTACAGAGCATGGCACATGGCAAGCGCTGCTGAAATGAGGAATGGAACAACCCATGAACCTATTAAGTTTATTTCATGCTTATTTGAGTCTTATGTGAGGGCTGGTCATAGGTTTGTTCTTAATTTTATTAAAAAGAATGGTTTAAACAGTCAAATCTGTGAAAATATTCAGGATATAGAATCTCAGAGGAAATGATGACAGTATGTGTGTGACCTCTTTCTCACGTTGTGTTGGCCATTGGGACTGGAGGATTGTAATTAACCATTTCTAAAGTGAATATGTGGGAGTAGGGGCAGGTAAAAATGAGAGGGAGAGGAAGAACATCCCAAGATGCTCTTCATATGATTCAAGAGCCAATCACAATGGCGGACAGCTGTCCACATGGCAGCCAACCTAGGTTCTTGTATCATTTCAGCTGGTCTTCCATGGAAGCTGATTTATGATGCCAAAGCTGGTTTGCCCCTCCCAAAAAATTGAAGTTTCAGAATAAGGCTGAAAAAGTCAAGAGTCTATTCCATTATTAGCAAATATCCAAGCTTTACCCTAACTTACCATTTTTACACCATGCTACCACCTACTCAAGCTGGACATGACGTTGTTCTTTTGTTCACACCTAGACAATCAATAACACCCTGCATGCTCTCCAAAAGCTGTTGAAAAACACCTCAATTCTTTTAGAATTCTTTACCAGACTCTGTTAGATCATTTTCTAGGAACAACCAGGACATCTTTTCCGTTAAGATTGAGGTCCTATGAGAGGGAGTCCTTTTGCTTCTCTTTCCATAGCAGAAGTTTGTAGAGCTCCTCACACCTTCTCTCCATCCTTGGAGGAAGCCCTGCCCCTATTTCAGGCCAGAGCAAGACCCTCCCTTCTCCTTCGAGTCCCATGATGTCAACCTTCCTAGGGCCTTGCCCCAACATCTGCTCCCTCATTCCTTCCCTCTCCTCGTCATTTCTACCTGCTCCTTCTCCTGCATACTCACTTTGGAAAAATGGTTAATTACAATCCTCCAGGTCTAAGCTGTTAATGCAGTAGCTAAGGGATTTTATTTAGCTAATCTTTTGTATATATGGTTGTTTCTATTTTTTTACCAATGTAAGCCATATTACAATGCACATTTATATTCACTAATTTTTTTATATTTATCTCTTTAGAGTGAATTCTCAGAAGCGCATTTGATAGGTCACTGGATCTGTCATTTTTACATATGATGTATATTATCAAATCCATCCCAAGAAAGACTGTTATATTTTATAATTCATCCCTACCCCATCAGTACATAAGAGTGATTATTACCCAATCATTCATAAAAACTGTACTTTTAATCTTTTTTAGTTGAATAACCTATCTAGTAGGTAAAAAAGAAAGATATGATTATTTAAGAAGTATCTTTGATTGAGATAATTGGTTTCCTTTTGTATACTGATTATTTGTATTTCTTTAGAAAATTACTATTCACATTCTTTGCCTATTTTTCTTTTTCTGTAAAGATTTATTTATTTATACAAGAACTGGGGTACAAGCCAGATGTGCAGGAGGGTGAGAGGATTCACCAGAGACAGAGTGGGGAACAGAACAGGCAGAATCACGAAGTACACTGCTGAGGGGAGCAGCGGGCAAGACAGGAGAGGTTTGCTGCGCCATGTGGGTTTATCCCCGGGGGGGCTGGGATCAAACCCACGTGGCAGAGGCTGCGGACAGCTTCATAGTACGGTGCTCAACTGCCTGCGCCACCAGGGAGGCCCTCTTTGCCTATTTTTCTATTTGGCTTCTCGTTTAAGTTATTGCCTGTCTGTACAATTAAGTATACAGAGATCAACTGCATGTCAATCATGTGATTGGCAAACATGTTTCCCTATTTGCTATTTTTCTTCCAAACTTGTTTATTGTTAGTGTCCATAAAGAAGTAATAACTTCTAATGCAGTGAAATGCATCAGTATTTTCCTTTTTGGTTTCTACCTTCCCTGGAATTCTCAAATAGAATTTTTCAGCTGCTACAATATAAAATATCTTCAGCGGTTTCACATTTACAGTGAAATCTCTGCTCCATCTGGAGTTTATTTTGAGGTACCGGGTGAGGGGTGACCCTTCTGTTCCCAATACTCCCCCTCTTCATTTCCCAGCACAATCCTCCACCTTCGGAGTCATCCTGGTTCAAAAACTTGAGATCCTTCTCTCTACCTGACTCATCCACGCAGTCACCTCACCAGGGAACTTCTGAGCGTTTCTCCACTGTGTGAAGTACTTCCACATCTATTTCCCTTCTTCCCACGAGCTGGGAGAGAGGACCCCCCTCCCACCAAGCTTTCCATGACAGCTCCACATGCACATTGCTGGAGGCACAGGAGAAGCTGCGGACTGACTCCACGTATTTCCGAGGGAGAGGAAAAAAATGAAGCTCATGCCAGTGTCTGGGGCGAGAACCCCACACCCCTTTCAACACATGTCACCCTGAGGTCTTCAACCCCCTGGGCTCAGTCTTCCCTGTGCCCCCTCCTGCGCCCAACTGCTCCAGTGCAAGATTTTGTTAAATTCTCACCTGCCTTGTCTCCGGTGCCCCCACTGTCAACTTCCTCATAATCTACATGGATCTTCCTAAATCACGGTTCTGTTTGTCTGCACAGAACGCTCATCCCCCGAACATGCCTTTGCTTAAAGACCTTCAAGGTACAGCCTCAGCCCATGGCCCACCTCTGTCATCCGTTATGCCCGTGGGTCCAGCACAGGATCTGCCTGTGCTCACACATGACTCGTGTCATCCTACACCCGCCCCTTGCGCCCAGCCCTGTCTTCCTCTTCCAGTTGCCACTGCCTCTCCTTCTGCAACTCCAACATCCCAGCCTTCTTACCGCCCAGCCCAAATGCCATATCCTTTATGAAACCCTTCCTGGAAGCTTCTAGCGGATGTTTTCTTTCTTTCCACTTTAACTTTCCATTGTCCTCTCTCTGTGACTCACAGCTTATAGCTTTTGCCAATGTCTTACTTTTCTTATCCATCTGTCAACTTCTTTGAGCGAATGGATTGCCCTTTCTTTATATTGTTATCACCCATCTCTCAATCCTTCGAAGAGTAACACGGGTACGTAATTTAAAAATAATTAGTGAGTGAATGTGCAAATGTAGGGATAGAAATGCATGGGTGACTGGTGATAATTTTGGGGAAGCTTTTATATTGCAAACTAGATTCTCCTCTTTCTTTTGCTTGCCCCAGCACCTACGCACACTCTAACTGGGTGATTGAAGGCTGGAATCTCACCCGTAGACACCATGACTTCCATTTATGACTTTGATCTACACAAAATGCTGGTGCAACCCCAAGGACCAGATGTCCACATTTCTTAGAAAATGCTCCTTCAATGATGCATGAAGGTTTTGAGTGGGAGTTTTTCCCAAAGGATTGGTTGCATATGAAATGGAAGAGTGTGCTCCCTCAAACTGCAGGAGTGGTAACTGAAGGAAAAATTAAGTCAATTTGGAAGCGGTGGCTTGGATACAAAGTCTTTTCAAGTCTGTGGGTGGTTTTTACAGCCTCCTTACCTGTGATGATCTGAATGCCTTCTGGGGGCTCAGGCTCTGGGTATGCAGCTCTGTCCCTTGAAACAGCAGAGCATTTGACTAGCTCAGCCACCCTCTGCCCAGGGAAGTCCTTGTCCCTCATCCGATGTCTCGGATAGGAGATGAACATTCCTGTGACACATGGAAAGGACAGTAAGTTCAAAGAGAAAGCTGGCAAATCACACCTTCCTGCCCCCAAAGCCAGGATTGCTTTAGAGAGGGCTGAGTGCCAGTTTGCAAGAATTGAGTAAATCAGATTTCTAATGTTTAATAACAGATGTTCTGGCTACAACTCATGAAATTATTTAATATTGCTTTATGCTCTGGTAATAAAAAAAGTCATCTGGCTCCACTTGACCTGGGTTACATATCTTCCTTAAAGGGTCGAAATGATTTGATGCAGTTCTTGGATCAAAAGGGCTGATACTGTGTATGTTACAGGCTGTGGATGGGGTTGCTTGAAGTTTGGGACAGATGTTGGCATAACACAGGCTTTGTGTCCGACAGCTTGAGGCGTGAGTCTGACCTCCAAACTTGCCCTCACGTTGGCCTTCGAAGATTTTGAATGCTCTGGGGTGTTCATTGTCTCCACCCTCTGCATACCTGAAGCCTGGCAGGTGAACAACTGCAGAAAGGCTAACATAGGCTCACCAATCACAATGGATGTGGCTGGCAGGGTCCCATAGCATGATCCCTACAACCCCAAAGGGAAGCAGATACGTAGGAACAACTTGGCCTTTGCAGAACAAGCTTTGCAGATGAGTTTGGATTGATCAGCTGGCTGGAGAGCACTGTGCCTGATGAAGCCTGGTCATAAATCAAAAGATCTTAAGATCTGGAAAAATGGTGGAATTGCCAAGATGACTCAAATCTTGAAATAACCAAGTGAATCAAAAAGATCTTCTAAAGAAGATAGTGGGGATATGAGGTGTTTATCCTTAAAGAAAATCTCATGGAAAAAAAAAAAAGACAAAGGCAAGTGGTTAAAGAGGGAGCTGGTAGGATAATTGGAGCATGGTTCCAGAAGCAAATTGAAGGGAGATAATGGGGGATTCAGGACTATAAAAAGGAATAATCCCTGCAACTTCTCAAAGAGAGTGATAAGTCTTTCCCAGGACATATGATGTCAATACTTAGTAAAATAAAAAGCAAATCCTGAGTAGCTACATAAACACCATATAGGATAATGGACTCTAAACCAGAGCTCTGCTGGACTCATGCATCAGGAAGCAAGGATGCCAGGTAAGCCTCACAGTCAAGTTCTCACACACACATAAACACATGCACACACACACACTCAAGCAGTGGGGACCCTAGGATGCCTGTCCCAAGAAAGTCCTTGTCCCCAAAGGAAAGCTTGTGTCCAGGCCCTCACTGAACTACTGCTCCCTGGTGCCAGCTACCCGTCAGGTCTTGGGATGCAGATGCATTCGGCACATCTGGGTCTGCAAGTAGCTGAAAGGCCTGTTTGGGGAAGTCAGTGTGTGACTAAGACTTCACCCTGGGGCAGAATGGATGCAAAGCATGATGGGATCACAGAGGAGAGAGGCCAACCTGACAGCGCTTGGCTGCAGCCTCTGGGGAGATGCCCTGCTGGTCCCAGAGGCCAGTCTGGAGTCCCTGGCCAACTGCTCAGGGAGGTCCTGGGCTCTCATGCATGCCTGGCTCGGACATCTGGAGTGGCACAGTGACTGGGTTTGCTGAAGCAAACGCCTGAGAATAGACTCAGGGCTATTTCACGATTCCAGTGACATCATGAAAGGTGTAAAAATGTAATTCCAGGTATTTTGGGTTATGAGGACAGAGGCAAAGGAGCACCATGCCCAGCCAGGTAAGGTGAAAAGGGTCTGTGTCTCGAGGCTACAAGGGATCTTAGATGGGGACAGATGGGGACATTCAGCCTCAAGGAGAACCTAGTTCTGGAGGCAAAGAGGGGCCCGCAGGACAACAGGAACCCAGATCTCATCTCCTGGAGTGTCCCTGAGAGGCCACAGAATTTCCTACTCACTTTTCAATTTTAGTAAAATTTGAAGAGCTAAATGAAATGTAAAGGCATAACCTGTCCTGAGTCTGCAGTGACATCATTTTGTAGTACTCATGCTCTAAATGTCTTCTTTTAAACAGAGGTTTCTTCGTATTGCAGGAAATTGGCTTTGCACACAAATATAGGGGATTGAAGGCAATGTTTATCTTAGTGCTTTCCGTAGAAGCCGATGGAAGCTGGCTCCTGACGATGAACATGGCTTTCCACAGTTATTTGGGAGAATGCAACATTTATATCTTAGTTTTTCTAGTAGAACTCAAAGTGAAGACAAAGTGTGAAAACATAGAGGAATGACTTTTTTTTATTTTGAAACATCCCATTTTGAAACCTGCAGCCCAAACACTCGTTCTGTGCCGCCATTTTATCTGAAGCCGACCCCATGCAATCAACTGGTGCAGTGCTTGCAGCCAAGGAAACCATCCACAAATGGTATTTTTTTTTTTCTTATGATTAGACCTGCCCTGATAATTTTCATGAACCAAGGGCAGGATAGGTGGCTGGGAGAAAGAGGGATCACTTAATGTCTACGCTTGTCATTTGAGAAAATTATTCAATATCACTTTCCTAAGGGAAATTTTAATCCTCAACCCTTCAGTCAACTTCAAAGCAGGTTTTACTACTTTAACTTACTCTACACAGAAGATCAGAAATGCTACCAAATATCAAATCTAAAGGCCACAGGTGGCTGCACCTGGGACAGGCACACAAATAAATGAAACCCTGATCACAGCTGGGAGAGGGGGCCAGCTGTGAGGCTGCTGGCATCTCAGAATTGAAAATACAGGGACAGTGTCCTAAGGAACTGGCCCCACCTCACACAGAGAAAGCGGTCCAATTTTTACTTAGTTACTTTTATTTTTGTAATGAAGAGCCATTGTTTTATGTTCTTGCTATTGTTCCAACAGTACAGGATTTCTCTACTCAGGTGTCGTCACCTGTGCTCTCCCACCACCTAGGCCCCCACAGCCCCGTCCCTTCTCACCACCCCCACCTTATTTTTCAAAGTATTTTATTTATTTATTTATTTGTTTGTTTGTTTGTTTGTTTGTTTTCTGTAAAATTGGGGTAGGCCAGAGGTGCAGGGGGTGAGAGGACGCACCAGAGACAGAGTGGGGAGCAGAATAGGCAGACCTACTGAAACACACTGCTGAGGGGAGCCCTGGGGAGACAGGAGAGGTCTGCTGCGCCATGCGGGTCACCTCCCTGGCTGGGGATCGAACTCGTGCTGCAGTGGTGATAGCGCTGGGACTCTATCCGTAGGCCACCAGGGAGGCTCCCTCCAGGGTCTGGTCTCACTGTGTCTTCCCCGGCTGGGAGGTCACAGTGCTCTCCCTCCCGGCCTGGTGCAGATCGCACAGTTCATAGCAAAACTAGGATGGGAATCTCTGTGACACGGATCCAGACTTTGCACCACCAAGTAGACGGCCAAGGTCGTCTGCCCACCGCACCCTGCCTCTGGGCTCTGCCACCTTGGGCACTGGAGAGCGTCTTGGAGCAAGGGGCGGGGGCGGGTGTGACCGGGCCAGGTACGAGGCACAGAACCTGCCCATCTCCCACCTCTGCCCAGACCCAGGCTCGGGTCCTCTCCTGGGGCACAGCTCCTACCTCGACACCCCGTGTGGGAGCCGGGGTGGGGGCCGCCCGGGGTCTGGTTACGGGGTGGGGGCGCACAGCTCCCCGGGGCCGCCCTGGGCCCGCGCCAGCGGCCTGGTGTGTTCCTCCCAAGTAGTCTCTCCCCGTTTCTGGGACTCCCCGAGGTGTGTTCAATAATGCACTCCTCGTTCTGAAGCAGATGGAAAAGTGTTTAAAAAGGTGCCAGGTTTATTTATGGAAGCCTGGGACTGAGTTTAAGAGATGCGCTTTGCCAATATGAAATGTGAACTCTCACAACAGGAAGTGTGTTTTACTGCCTATTTATTTTATTGCCGTATCAGCTGCCCGGAGCTGAAGAATCCTTCCTCTCAGGAATTATTTATTTTCTAACTTCTGAACCAGAACATCTTGACCATCGGCGCTCAGGGTCTCCGCTGCCAGATTCCAACTACAAACATGTGCCTCGCTGTCTTTCTGCGGGGACCCACGGAGTGTGCACCGAGAAACATTTGGGCTCTCATAATTTGTCCTGAATCTTGGTTTTTTTTGTTGTTTCTTTGTTTCTTTCTTTTCTGTTTTTCTTTCTTTTTTTTCCTTTTTTTCTTTCCTTTTTTTTTCTTTTTTTTTTTTTTAATGTAAGTGTCCATGTTGCAAATAAATGGAATCAAGGGACAATAAATAGCACACATCTAGAAACACTTCTTAGAATAACGGAGGAATTGTTGAGCTCGCCCGTGCATCTCGAGACAAGCAGCAACCAGCACCTCCCGGCCCCAGCCAGCACTGAGGTGTCACCGAGAAGGTCTCAGGACGTGGCGCTGCTCCCTGCAGCAGGTGGCAGCGAGGAGAGTCTCCAGGATGGCTCCGTGCACCGCCTCCCCACGCCGGCCTCTCGCAGCGTCCACTTCTCCCACTCTAACAACTTCATCAAATAGACCAGGAATAATTATTCACAAACAGCAGCTGCTGGTTGAAGAAACAGTCGAAGTCATGAGAAGACACTGAACTGGAGCTGAGGAGCGTGGGTCTTCGTCCAGGCTCTGTCGGCTCCAGCATATTCGTCTCCGAGCTCTGGAGCAGACGATGCACGCGGCTGCCCCGCGTTCTGGGAGGCACAGGGGTGCACGGGAATAAAAAGCAGACGGGGTTGGGAGTGTGGAATGAATAATATGAAAGGAAGGAACGGCTATGCCCGAGTTCTTTCAACTTTTAGGAAAACCCATTCCAGTCTGCTCTAGAGCTAGGTCATCTAGATCTTCCGAGCTTGAATATCTGGATTATTCTAGCTCGAATGCTCTGGAAAAGGACATTTTCACACGTGGAGTTGACCTGCAAAGTGCAAACTTGCAAGAGATGCTGGAAGGCAGAAGACGTGTTACAAGGGCACCACCTGCTGGGGATTCTCGAAAACACACCTTCCCTTCCACTCGCGCTCAAAACTCCTCCATAGCTCCCCATGGCCGAGCAAAAGGAGCCTAAAATTCCTGGCATTCAA